GAGGTTTTGTGACATTATATCTACATTTGTCAAAGATGATAGATTCTCTGATTTGAAGAAGAAAGATTTATTGGGTTTTTACAATTGAAGAAATACTCAATTCACCAATCTGAAATCAAACATTTTAACATTCATGCATCATATTTAGGCATTTTCAAAAATAGATGCATTTTCATTCATTTTTATTCTTGTTCAATTTTTAACAGGAATTTCAAAGATTTTAGCAAAGATTCAAATCTATCATTTGATAGATTATCTTTTCCAGAGAAGGTTCATAATGAGAAGAACTCATCTGAAGAAGGAAGAAGAAGTTCATAATGAGAAGAATTTGTTCAACCTTTTACCTGAATTCATCAAATTGATGGATTATCTTTTCCAGAGAAGGTTCATAATGAGAAGAACTCATCTGAAGAAGGAAGAAGAAGTTCATAATGAGAAGAATTTGTTCAACCTTTTACCTGAATTCATCAAATTGATGGATTATCTTTTCCAGAGAAGGTTCATAATGAGAAGAACTCATCTGAAGAAGGAAGAAGAAGTTCATAATGAGAAGAATTTGTTCAACCTTTTACCTGAATTCATCAAATTGATGGATTATCTTTTCCAGAGAAAGTTCATAATGAGAAGAACTCATCTGAAGAAGGAAGAAGAAGTTCATAATGAGAAGAACTTGTTCAATCTTTTGCTTGAATTCATCATTTGATGGATCAACATTGCCAGGTAGAGTTCATAATGAGAAGAACTCGTCATCTGAAGAAGGAAGAAGAAGTTCATAATAAGAAGAACTTGTTCAATAATTCTATCACAGAAGGAGATAGATTAGCATCAGCCTTTCTAGAGAAAGTTCATAATGAGAAGAACTCATCAAAAGCTTATTCAACCTTTTGAATGACTCTATCACAGAAAGAAAGAGGTCAGCATCATCCCCAGCAGAAAGTTCATAATGAGAAGAACTCATCTGAAGAAAGAGAAGAATTTATTCAATATCTCCATTATGATCAAGTGAAGCCAAATGGATAAAAATTTTTATTATCTTTTCATCTTTGCCCTATTCTTGTTAACACAAGAATGAGCAAAGAGGGGCAGCTGAAGATACTAATTTTTTACCCATATTATAAATATTATTATTATTGTTATTATAATAATTATTATTATTATTATCATTATTATTATTATTATTATTATTATTATCATTATTATTATTATTATTAAATATATATTAAATACATATATAAATAATATTAAATTACAAAGCCCAATCAACCGGCCCAAAACCCAAACCAAACAGAAACCCAAAACATTTAGGGTTTCAGTTAGGGTTTCCTATCCCTAATCCCATGCTCAGCCGCCTCTAGCCAGCCGCCTCAGACTGACCGTTGGATCTGGTATGATCCAACGGTCCAAGAGCCTCCAGATGGAAACCCTAGGGTATGATACCCTAGGGCCACACGGCCGCCGCTGCTGCTCCAACCGCCTCCGCCGCTGCCACGTCCCAAACGAAGGCTCCAGAAGCTCCAACGCCAGCCGTCCACGCCATGGCTAAGGGGTGAGTCACCACTGGTAGTCCGGTGACTCACCGAAACCCCATCTTCGGACCGGTCCGATGGCCACACCGGTGGTGGCTATAAAAGCCACCACCCGAACCTGCAAAAAAAAAAAACGGAGACAGAGACAAAAAAGAGAGACAGAAACGGAGAGAAGAGAAATACAGAGAAACAAAATAAAAAAAGCTACCAACGATCTCAACAACAACGCAGAAAAAAAAACAGAAAAGAAAGAAAAAGGAAGAAGAAAAACTTACCGAGGAAGCCGACCACCGGATCTCACCAAAACCTTCGACAAACCGAAGGTATTTTTTTAGATTTGCTCCGATTGGGAGCCGTTTAAAAGAAAAGATTATCGGAACCGTCATTAGGACGGTCCGATCTACATTTCAATGTAAAAAAAAATATTCCGGCCACCGGATGTGGTGGCCGGCGGCGGACTTGACGGTGGCCGACGGCAGAAGAATACCGGTTGACGGTGGCCGGCCGGCTGGCTTCTCTCTGTTTTAGAGAGAAGCGAGAGAAAAATTCTCTCTCTCAGAGAAGAGAGAGAGAGGAAAAATAAAGAAATGAAGCTGGCCCTTCGGGCCAGCCGGTTTTGGACCTTATATAGGCCTTCCCGAACGACGTCGTTTCAGGAAGGACTATGCGCGTAATTAAAAAATAGTTAAATCCTTTCCGCCGTCCTCCGAACTTGTAAACTTTACATTTTAGTCATTAAATCGAATTCATAATACTTTTAATTTGATCTCAAAATTTTAATTTTATTTATTTTAGTCCTTTTGATTAAAATAATATATTTAGGATAAATAATAGAATTAATCCCTTAATTTTAATAAATAATATTTTAATCCCTAGTTTATATTTTTAATTTATTTTATTATAATATCCGAATTTTAGATAATTTTATTTTAGTCACTAAATAGATAAAATAAAGAAATAGCATGTTTAATCCCTAATATTTTGATTAATTATGAATTAGGTTTTTAATTTTACTTCTACTATAATTTAGTCATTTATTTTAAATATTTTTAGCATTTTATTGTGTTTAAATATATAACTCTAATGGTATTTTTATTTCAATTTTACTTGTTTATATTTTAAATATTTTTATGTATTCCTAAATATATATATAATAAATAGTAATTAAATTTTTTAATATTTAATATCGAAGAAAAGGACAGTCTTAATACAACTGGATGTCCTATTCTGATATTTTAAAATTAAAAATTAAACAATATTATTTAAATTAATATTTATCAATATCAAAGAAAAGAGCTGTCTTAAGGCACCTAGAAGTTCTTTTCTGATATTTTTAAATAAATAAATATTTTTTTATATAATTTTGAAATAATAGGATTATAAATTAAATATATTTTTGAATTTTTAAATTTTAATAATAGAGACAATTTATAATTAAAAAGTACAAATTTTGGGCGTTGTAGGGGTGTTAATCATTCCCTAAACGTAACCGACCACGAATCCCTTTTTATTATTAAAAAAAAACGAATTTTTGGTTATAAACGCAGATCAGTTAATTTTTTTTTTGATATTTTCTTAAAACTCTTTTAAAGAAAATAATCTTTAGGTATTCGACCTACCTGATCCAAAAGGCCGATGGCGACTCCCAAATTATTTTCAAAATTATTTATTCACATCAATTTCCCTGCCAAGTATAATATTTCGTGCCCGGACAAAAACCGGTTACGACATCGATAACATTGAAGTTCAATTAAAAAACATCCTAAGTTAAAAAGATCAAAATCCGATCTAGAATAATCGATTAATAGATCGAATATCGATGGTCAAACGTAAAAAGAAAAACACGAAACTGGGGAAAGAAAGCGGCATCCTACTGCAACAGTCATCAAGCACCAGCAGAGGGCTTCCATCTGAAATAATACAAAACCAAACAAAATCATTAGCTGAGTGCCTTATACCAAATTCCTTTACATAAATTTTAATATCTTATATCAAATTACAGTTATTATTCCTTCAAATTAAAAGTAATAAATAGATTTATTTATGAAAACATCGAATAATCAAAGTTCCCTTCATTAACAATTAATAATAAAAAATGAAATTAAGAGATAATAAGAATATAAATACCGTTGTCTCTTCACCATTGCCTGTAGTCTTTGGTTCATTATCTCAAGGCGTCTCCACAAATCCTGAATTAAAATTTGATTTATCATAAGCACCCAATTAAGCCATTCATACCACTAGTTGTGCAAACCTACAATCTATGAACAAATTTTCTCTCTAAGGTTAAGTACTAAACTGGCAAATTATCCACCACTTTTTTCCAAATTGATGAATTCCCCTAGTTAAAAGAGTATATAAATCGAACGAGGAAAAGATTCGAATCCAGTTATTCGATCTTACTGTTATTGAACCGAATGTTCAAATTGAAAAGTAGATACCGATCTGTCATATCGTTAATAATAAATCAACACGTGATAACGATCTTATATACGTTTCATAATTTTATTTTTTTTAGAGTTGGGATAATTTTACTACAATTATCATAGTACTTAAATAATGAAGGAATAGTTGTGGGGGTTTTTTTTTCACCTCCTCGGTATCATCTTCATCATAAACTCCTTCCTCTTCATCACTTGATCGTTACATGCAAACAAAATTCCGATTATTGTAATTTATGTATTATACAAAGAAAATGAAGGGAAGAAGAATTGATCCGATTATTGTAACTCATGAAAAATAAAAGAGGGATTTACCATCTCCAGCTTGATTCATCAACAAAAGTGTAAGATCTAAAGACAAGAATTATGGAACATATAATTAAAAGCCGAGTTCAATTATAAACAGGAATTTTAGATGATTTAAGTCATGAAACTTGAACCTAGTTGGGGGTGGAAGCCTGGGAAGTGTTGGACGTTGAGAAATGTTGGAGATGGCTGAAGGTTTGGCAGCTGCCTCGTTGCTCATTTTTTCTTTTCCTTTCCCTTTCCCTTTCCCTTTCGTCATATTTGCTTTGCTTTACCAACAGATTCCTCATATATCTACATATATATATCTACACTACTTAAGTGGGGACAATTTGCTTATGTCATTGGAGAGGTGTCACACAATTTTGATGATCAGATTTTAAAAATTTTAGAAAATTTAAAAGATCATATAAAATATTTTTTTGAGTGATCTTGGTGATAAAAAAGAAATTTTGTTCTTCTTAGAAGACCCGAGTTTAAGTAACTACATCTGTAGAGTATATATATATATTAATTATTAAGAAAATTACAAATTCCATCTTTACCTCGAACTAATAAAAATTCATATAAGATAATGATCATAAATAATTAATAATGAATAAGGCATCTTTCTCACAATTATAAATGATGGTTTTTATTATGTTTAACGTTTACTAACAAAAACGCTATATACTAAACATAAGATGAAAAAGGATAAGCACAGATGCATTAGGGACTCTCCAAGAAGATGAACATTGATAGCGTCCAAGAAGATCAAAGAGCCACAAAGAAAGTTAAGAATCGAGAAATAAAAACTAAAGATAATGAAACAACTCAACCAACGGAGGACATGCAAACTGAAGATGATTCTCAAGAAGAAGAAGCTGCGACCAAAGAACGCCCCAAGAGTCCGGAGAAAATCTCATATGCGACCATGGCTACCAGTGGATCAAATATGATCAAGAATCCTCCAGTCAAGATGCCCGAAAAAGAAATAATTTTCCAAGAAGGAGATGTCACCATGGACAATTCTAGAGATTTCCCAAAAATAAGTTTCTCTAGGAGAATTCATGAACTGATTGATCGAAACATGAAACAAGTTGTTACCACGAGACTACTGGGAAAAAAGATTGGATATAAAGCTCGGATAAACAAAATACATGTGTTATGGAAGCCAATAGGCAATTTCAACTTAATAAATCTTGATAATGACTATTACTTAGTGAAATTTGAAAATCCTGAGGACTACACGAGAGTTCTTACCGATGGTCCTTGGATGATATATGGAAGTTACGTGACAGTTCAACCATGGTCGAGGAACTTTACTACAACTGAGAAAAACCCTTCACAAGTCATCGCTTGGCTGCGTCTACCTGGTTTGCCCTACAGGTATTACAATACTGTACTAATCAGAACAACTGTGAATATGATAGGAAGAGCATCAAAATTGACTACAATACCAAAGTTGGAGAAAGGGGAAAATTTGCTAGAATTGCAGTTGTAATTGACCTGTATAAGCCTCTTATTCCATGCGTGGGAATAGATGATTTCATACAAAAAATTGAATATGAGGGGCTGCAATAGATCTGTTTCAAATGTGGTACCTATGGGCATGCAAAAGAAGCATGTCAAACCAATCAAGAAGGAAAACAAATAGATATTCCCAACACTAGTCATTTTGTTGAAGAACAAGCGAATGAGGAAAATAGCAAAGATAACCCCTTTGGTCCTTGGATGATTGTTCAGCCAAGAGGAAGAAACAACATATACCAAATAACCCAAAGTAGAAATAAAGAAATTGAAGGAACATCAAAACAAGGTTCCAGATTTGCGCCTCTACATGATGAACAGATAGAGGAAGAACCAAGGGGAAGCATTAAAGACCACTAAAACATAGGTAGAGAAGCTGATTTACAAGTCCCTGCTACAAGAACTAACACACCAAAGAACCAGATGGAAAACAAAATGGGAGATAGAGGAAAAACGAGGAACAAAGCCATTTTAACCCAAACGGATGAAAATACGAACCAAACTGAGAAAAGAAATGTTCCCATCAATCTTGAAGTTGACAATAACAATTTAGTAGATGTTCCTATCACTGACGCTGAAATGACAGCGAATGAAGATCATACTAAGGAAATAAGTCTTGGTGGAATTCAAGTCATGGCAAAGGAAGATGCTCAAATCAGTGAACACAGGTTGACTGTGGGAGATGGAATACATACATCTATTTCCATTCACGAAAAAGACAATAACATGAATCCTACTTCTAGATGGAATTTTAACAGGAAGCCTAGTCAAATTTCTCGTATCACCAAAAAAGGCCTCAAAGTCAGAAATTCAAAAACTATTATTAATCCTAACATCCCTTTTCTATCAGAATGGATTCAAGAAAATACTATGAATTTGAAATATTTGGCTCCTCCTGACAACACCATTTCTACAACTAGTCATGTTCAAATGGTTGAGCAAATGGATCAGAGCCAAAGCAAAGAAAATGAAGAAAATGAAAAGAAGATGTCTCAAAGCATCTACCCTCTATCTCAATGATTATGAAGATTCTATTTTGGAATACCCGAGGGGTAGTTAAACCTTCTTTTAGAAGACACTTTAAAGACTGTTTGACTATACACAAGCCTAAGATCATTGCTCTGATGGAAACTCACACAAGTGGTAGAAGAGCAGATAGAATTATTAAGAATATGGGTTATATTAACTCCTTTAGAATCGAAGCTCAAGGTCATAGTGGAGGAATCTAGATGTTTTGGGATAATTCGGTTGAGGTTAAGATTCTAAGTATTTCTAACCAATATGTGCATGCCCGTGTTAAGCATATTAATAGTAACTACTGGAATTATGTTACAACAGTTTATGCCAGCCCCAACCCCAACATTCGATGTAAAATATGGGATCTCCTGGATAATATCAAACCTTGCAATAATGAACCCTGGATTTTATGAGGAGATTTCAATTGTATGTTGAGATCTGATGAGAGAGTTGGTGGAAGTAATCGCTTCAGAGGTGGGAGTAAACATTTTCAAGATTTCATATTCAATAATGAATTGATAGAAGTTAATTTCCAGGGAGATGATTTTACTTGGCGTTTTGGTAATCTTTGGAGAAGACTGGACAGATGCATTATGAATATGAAGTGGTTAGAATTATATCCTGAAACTAGAGAGCTTTACCTGGACCGAATTGGATCTGACCACTGTCATATTCTACTGTACACTATGAATATCCCCAAGGACAATAAAAAGAAACCTTTTAGATTTCTGACAGCCTGGATGGATCACCCTAATTTTGATCTCTTTCTTAAATAAGAGTGGGTTAAAAATGACAACCTTATGGAAAGCCTCAATCATATCAAGGAAAGTACCAAAGTTTGGAATAGTGAAACTTTCAGCATTATCAACCAGAAGAAGAAAATAATAGTTGTTAGACAGAAAGGTATCGATAAAGTATTACGTTTTTATAACTCCTCCAGATTGGTAACCCTTGAATCTGAGCTCAAGACTGAACTGGACACTATTCTAAGACAAGAATAACTACTTTGGGCTCAAAGGGCTAGATGTAAATGGATTAATTATGGAGATAAAAATACCAAATATTTCCACTCCTGTGTGATTACTAAGGGCAAAAAAAGACTTATAACAGCTTTTAAAACTGAAGTTGATACTTGGTGTGATGATCAGAATATACTTAAAATTCATTTCAAGGAGTACAATGAGGAGTTGTTTACCAGGGACCCTTTGACCAAGCAATCCCTGGAAAATCTTAGACATTTTCCTAATCTGAATCGTGATCAATGAAATTGGCTTGACAAATCTTTTGATAACATCGAGATCAAAAAAGCTTTATTCAGTATGAATCCGCTCAAAGCTCCAGCTGTTGATGGGTTTCATGTGAGTTTTTTCTAGAACAATTGGGACATAGTTGGAGAAAAGGTTTTCCATTTAGTTAAGCATTGCCTTAATGGGGGTCAGATTGATGAAGCTCTAAACAGAACGAGTCTTGTGTTAATCCCCAAGGTAGATAATCCTGATAGAATTATGCAATTTAGACCTATAAGCATGTGTCATGTTACATACAAAATTATTACGAAAGTTATTGTTAACCGTCGCAAACCTATTCTTCCTACCATTATCTCTAATAGCCAAATGAGTTTCATTCCAGACAGGGTTATTACTGACAACATAATCCTTGAACAAAAAGTTATTCACTCCATGAAGAAAAAGAAAGGAAAAAAGGGATAGATGGCCATCAAAATTGACCTAGAAAAAACTTATGACAGATTGGATTGGAATTTTATTAAGGATAGCATCGAGAAATTGGGTCTTCCTAATAGTATTATTCTGGCCATTATGAATTGCATTAACTCCATGACAATCCAAATCAATTGGAATGGAGAACTTACCGAGCCTTTTAAACTGACTAGGGGGATCAAACAGGGTGATCCCCTATCACCTTACCTTTTTATCATCTGCATGTAAAGACTAGCACAAGAAATTGTGTTAAGAGTTGAGCAAGGAAAATGGAAACCAATTAAACTGTCTAGAAATGGTCCTAACATTTCTCACCTCTTTTTTGCAGATGATCTCATTCTCTTTGCGGAAGCTGACAATTCTCAAATTGAAATTATTCAGAACACTCTCCAAAAATTCTGTAGCTGCTCGGGTCAAAAAGTTAACCTGCAGAAATCCATCATCTTTTATTCCAGCAATATTAATGCACAAATCAGAAACACTATAACCAATATGATTGACATCAAGGAAGTCGAGAACCTTGGGAATTATCTGGGAGTTCCTCTTCCGCACAACAGTATCAATAAAAGAACTTACAACATCATCATTCAAAGAGTAAAAGACAGACTTGCAGGTTGGAAGGCTAAAACATTATCATTAGTAGGAAGAATTATGCTTGCTAAATCAGTCCTCAATACAATTTCTGCATACACTATGCAGTCAATATTAATTCCAAAAGGAACGTGCAATGAGATTGAAAGGCTAACCAGAGATTTTATTTGGGGGAATACTAATGAGCAGAAGAGTATTCATCTTGTGAGCTAGGATACACTCTGTAAACCGATCAAAGAAGGGGGACAAGGCTTGAAGATTTTAAGGATCCAAAAATAAGGCCTTCATTTTCAAACTTGCCTACAAGCTGCCCCATGTGCAACTAGGAGACAGAAGACATAAATTATATGCTGAGATTCTGCTCGATAACTTTGCAGATATGGGCAGAACTGATTGATACCCAGAATTTGGATAAAATTTTGAGTAGCAATATCAAGGAGTGGATCACCGAGAACCTGGAAACAACCCAATCCCCTTCACCATCAATAGAAAGCTAGCCATCTTTCTTCATCTCTGTAATCTGGAACATTTGGAAAAGAAGAAATCAGGCGATCTTCGACCCATAAATGATCAAAAGGGAATTTATTATTCAACAAGCTATAAGATTGGCCCAGGATATACAGAATCCAGGAGTTACCAAATCTGGAAGCACACAAAGCAGGAATGACAACCGATACAAATGACAGAAGCCTATTAGAAACTACTGTAAAATAATTACAAATGGAACCAATAATCAGAGCACTGGAGAAGCTATGTGTGGGATAGTTGCAAGAGACCACAATGGAAATTGGCGATGGGGTTTTGGCAGAAGAATAGGGATTTACTCCATATTGGAAGCAGAACTGTGGGGCATTCACGAGGGTTTAAATATGGCTTGGATTAGGGGAGAAAGAAAAATGGTTTTGGAATCTGATAACAAAGAAGCTATCAACCTTATCAAAAACAAATCGGCTGAGCACAGAAAACTTACCATACTGCAGCACATAGAGAAACTCTTAAAGAAAAATTGGGAAGTAGAGTTGAAGCATATACCTAGAGAGGCCAACCGTGTCGCGGACTTCATCGCCAAACAGATATGGAAGTATCAGGAAGACACAATTTTTCTTTTGGAAAATTCACCCAAGGAAGTTGAGGAGTTGTTAATTGCTGATAGAATGGGCAACTAGGCGGCCCATTATACCTGTTTCAACCAAAAAAACATAAGATGAACAAAAATTAAACTAACAATAATTTGTAAATTTGTTAACTTTTTAATTATACTAAAAGAATTCAAGTTTATAAAGACAATCAATTTTTATTGTATCAATAATTCTAAAAATCATTTTTCAATTAAGATGTTAAATCGTATACAAAATAGATATAAAGAATATTCAATAAAAAATAACTTAATATTACATAAAAAAAATTAATTTATCACAAGTAAAACCACAATTCTAATTTTTTAAAATTTAATCAATGAAATGTGAAAATAAAGAATTATTATCAAATTAGAGAGCACCATTTAAAAATCTTGAAAGACTGACTACTTATCCTATAAATTCTAAAGACTACGATGTTGAAAGAAAATAAAATAATTCTTGAGATTTTTAAAATATTTAGTGGGTGAGAAAGATTCACTTATTTTTCATACAAATTAAATTTGTATTAT